TGACGTTTAGCACTTATATAAAAATCGATTTCCAAATAATGTGTTTACGTATTCTTACATTATTAATTTGGTACACCTACCGTCTACCACATTAAAATAATAATAAATAATAAAATATTATACCATATGATATTTATTTGCATAATTAATAATAATATGTAGTTTAAAATTAAAACTATATCGTCTTGGCATCCAAAGCTACAATTTTTTTTTTCGTCCATCAGTGTTTAGCTCAAATTATTATGAACAAATTGTAAGTAAAATTACAATAGGAATCCGAAAAAAAATGTTATTGTGAATTATGATTAAAATATTTTTTAGTAACATTTAACGTCAATCACTAATCTAAATAATATGTCTTGAATGGATTTTAAATATCAGTTTGAATGGCTGCAAAGCCGAATAAGTGTCGTCTGCAAATAATTTTTTTTTATTTTATATTTCTTTAAACTCTGTTTACCCTTAACACTCCACCCAGAGGTGCAAATTTTATTGCTTACGTTCACCTCTTTTCAATTAAGTCATATTTTAAATTAATTATTAAAGAATGTCTTTTTTTCTGTATACAAAAACAATATTATTATTTACTTTCAATTTCAGTCAGAGTTTTATATTTATATTTTAATATTTAAAAATTCATTTATATAATGACTATAATGTATTTAAGTACTTATTTAACGAGAGTCATTTTTAAAATATATAAAAGTGTATTTGATAAAAATAGCAATATTTTTGAACAAATTTAAAGCATACATGTATATATGTATCATAGAAAGTTTTATAAAGTATCGTATTGCACACATTTGAATTTTTTTTTTACATTACATTGAAATAGTCATTGTTGATTTTTCAATATTGTCAATTCCCAAAAAATTAGTCCAATTTTCAGTAAACTTCCAATAACTCTTCAAATTTTGAATATAGTAAAGGTGTTTTTAATATGTTTCATTTCGATCAAAAATCAGAATAATATGTAAATGTATTGTACAATATAATATACTCAATGCAGCCAATGGCCTCCGCAGCTGAGGCTTATTTCTAGTAAAAAAAAAAAATATACTCAATGCTAATACAACAACCGTTTTTTTTTCAGAATCATTAAATCATAATAACATTTTATATCACTTCAGTAAGTCACTATTGACTATTTGGCTATAATTTATTCTGAAAATATTTAACATTAACAAGTAGTGGCAATTGAGACAAATTTGAATCACAGCGATCAATTTATTATAATAATATTCACCAATTTAGTGTATTATTTTTAGTATTATTATTATCAGTATATGTATTGTTTTAAAATTATTTTACAGTGCAATATTGTTCTTCATAAATTATTTAAATCATCCTTTCTTATTCATTAAAACAATATCTTTTGATTTTGATTTGAAAACCTGTGCATATTTTAAAATTTAAGTAGTTTATTAATCATCTGAAAATGTTGATATGATATCAACCTTATATTGAACTAATTATCTGAAGCTTTAATTTACGAAATGGAGAAATGTGATCTAAAAATAAATAAGAAATGTCTGACCCTTTATACACATATACATATAACAACGGTATAGCATTTAAAGTTTAAATAATTGTACAGTGAATAAAACACAATAATCGGATTATTTCGGATGTACGTTACCCGGGATACTTCGGAATTATTTGGATTGTATGATAGTTGTATTATAATGGTGGTCATAATATAGGGTTCAGGTTAATTCATGCGGAAAGCATTGATATTTACTATTATCACATTTTAATGTGAAAATAATCAATAAAACCATGATTTATTTAATTCCAGCCTCTTTTAAAATACAGTTTCATAATGCACCAAGATTTCAAATAAACAACTAAATAATACTTTCACAGTTGTGTAAAAAAAATATACAGGTTAAATATTCCTAATAGTTATATTTTATTTTCATTTGTTAACAGTTCACCGTCATTTAAGACTCCTATTAAAAAAATGTTGGTTAATAGTTATGTTAAGGAATAAATTATATTGTGTAGTAAATCTTATATTAATTTGTATAAGTGTATTGGTAATAGAAATTTTAAAACTTTGTCTTTAAAGGTTATGTACATATTATACACAATTGAATAAATTGATAACTGGAAGTCGAAATAGGACTAAAATCACTTCGATTAACGTATATAAACAAATAAAATAGAAATAAAAATCGACATGTATTGTGTGTATACTAGCCACTGGCAGTTTTTTGGTGAGATTAAATTTGAAAACAATAGAATAAAATAATGGCTTCCCAAAAACAATTTTTGCTATGAACTGCAGGAGTTTACAGTGTAGTTTATACTTTATACTATATGTATACTGTTCATAGGGTGATTCTGATTTCCCCCCCCCTTTTTTTTCTATAATTATGCTTTTATTCAAACTTTGATATTTGGAAATTAGAATTGTAAAGTACACTTGAAGACTATATTTTTCTTAGATTTTTCATTATATTTAAGGAGTATATCCTGAGTGAATATACTTCTTTTTTAATTTTAAACACCTAATATTAGCTGTAAATTATTGTTAGTCAAATTATTTTTATAAAGATTTGATAAATAGAATTTCGAACGAGTAGTTTCTGCGTTATTAAACTTTATGTGGTAAGGATTAAGGATAATAGTCCTTAATAACAGTTTTACCTAAAATATAAAGTAGATTGCATATTATTTAGGCTAATACTTAGTGGAAATCTACCTTTATACTTGGACAATTTTTGAAAATTATGAAATTATAAGTATAACTAATTAATATTAATTACTATAATTTTTAAATCATCGTAGCCCCTATCAGATCTCTAAACCTATTATCTTTAGTATACTTACTTACTACATAATAAGATGTGATGCCCGCATGCGCTGTCTCTGTCTCACAAACGTAGAACATCGGCTATAGCAGATTTGTGTTCAGCAGAATCCATTTTTGTTGTTAATATTAATATTAGAGTAAATGAACCTATTATTAAATTTTATGGTAAGAATATTATCTGTGTCCTATTTTAATTTGTTATGGGCATTTTAATATTTTTCATACTTATAACTCGCTTTTAAATTAAAGTATTAAAAATTGTCGATGGAATGCAGACTATATTCTTAATAACTTAATGACCTTAAAACTACTTCGAATTTTGATACAGGTATTATTGACATATTGATATAGGTACATCTGAATCTTCAAAAAGACATCTCCTTAACATTTTACAATCAAAAGTATAGTTTGAAAAAAAGAAGTTTATATCACCACAGTTACATAAACAAATCTAAGCATACTCGTATTTGAAATATGGCCTTTGACCCTTAAGTATACATACAAAGTCCTAAAATTAAAATTTGAATAAATTTATTATTAACGGGATAATAGGGATAAGCATGCTTGGTGAATCGCTCTGTATTTACTGTATTAACTATATACTATACATGAAAAGTTTTAAGTCTCTCGGATAGTCGGATCAGTATCCGAATTATTACAATATAACCAAAGTACATTTTGTTTAAAACTGTCTTGTACATTTCACTGGTTTTAAGTTTGTCCGTTGATTGATTTGACAACTGAATCGAAAAATAATGTAAAATTCCAATAATCTATATTTTCAATTTTGTAATAGCTTGTATTGTTCTATACGTACAAAAGTAGTATACCTTCTTAACACTTGTACTGTTGTTTTATATCATCTATGGTGCACAAAATAACCAAAAAAAAAAGAAAATCAGGAGCGTTACAATATTATGTTGTGCCTAAGTAACAAAAGTAATTTTTAAATTAAAATTAATGTAATAAATATCATTTGGAAAATTATATGTGGTTAAGTGGTAGGTAAAAAAATATTATGGTAGTATAATACAGGCAACAGTTGTGTCTGTCGTATACACTGTACACACTATACCGCATAATGTAAAATATTAAAATAAAAAGGTCGTTTTTTGATAAAACACGAATAAGAGCATAATTCGTACCTAATTCGGTGTACTTTTTGATGTTCAATCGTCTACGACCTCGTGGACCGTGGTAATAAACTAATAAATATATAATATTTTACAATAATAATCATCGTGATAATACGTCGTGGTCAAATCGAATTTAATTCCTAGCGTATTGTAGAATTGCAAAATCAATCGTATAATTTGTGTGGTAGATTAGGCGTAGGTACTCCTGCAATAGCACAGCGATCAAAACCAACGGTAGTGCTAAAAGTCTCCTCGCGTGATTCCGTCGCCGGACGAGAGGTATAATCGCATTCGTCATAAAAATCGTCTTCGTAGATACAGACGGCGCGATCGCCTCGTGCGTGACATAATGTTGTTATAGAGAGAGGACAAAATGTAACGGCAGTTTAGTGGCGGCGATCGTGAATTGTGATGGGCGTTGGGTTGCATATCGGTGGGGGTGAGGTGGAGAGATAAGGGATGTCACACTGTTCCATAAAACACTCGTATAATAGCGTATAATATACAATATACGTCCAGCGAACGATGACGACGTGTCTCCGGCGCGACTACGGATGACGTGTGCGCTCGCGAACCGCCTCGTTGGCTGCGCGTTTCCGGGGCATTAGGTCCGACACGCACGCACCAATGTCGCCGCCGGCATAGGTCGGCCGGTCGCGTCGCCGTTTTGGTATTATACGGTTTTTGGCACGCCGTCCGAAAAGCCCGTCATCGATTAATTCGATAAAAGCGTGTCCTCGGCAAACCGAAATAAGCCGTTCACCACCGAAAGACGTTTTTTTGAAACCGTGTCAAGACCGTATGCAGAGCTTATACCCGCCCGCGCCACCGCGGCGTTACACTTTTTTTCTGTATACGTATAATAATAATAATATAATGTTATAGTTTCTTTCGGTTTTCTTCCCTCCTCTTCTTCTTCTTCTTCTTCTTCTTCTTCTTCTTCTTCTTTTGTCTCGTGCCTGACCTGTTTTCGACCCAATTACCCCCATGCCCAAACCCCTCGCGGCGTGTCGTCAACAGCTCAGGTGGTCGTGTCGTATCTTGTCACGTGCGCAGTATACGTATTTATAATACGATATCGATACACGTTTATAACATTAGAGTCGTAATATATTTTTATTGGTTTTGAATAGCAGTTATAATATTCTAATATTATACAGCCGCTGCAGCCGGGTCGATATCAATATTCTCGTTGGACAATAATAACAGTCGGTTCAGTTCTCCGTCCTCGGCCGCCCTTGCCTGGTTAGTCAATTCGACATCTTTGGCGGCTATAGCGTACGGGTCCATTTTGGTCTTGCCCTGCAACGGAAATGAAAAATAAATACAATACGGATATTGTAATAGTATAATATGTACACCACGGCACCTTTAATATAATTATTACAATGTACCTATCGCAGTCGATATATTTTCTGTCTCATTTATTAATCGACTTTAGTGGTATTTACTATATACCATCGTCGTTACATAATTTACAAACACTTAAATTAAAAACAAAAAAAAATATTATAGTTTGTTTTTCCAAGGATCCCGCGCACTATATACTTTTCGACGTATTAACAAAAGGAACTAAGTCACGTACGTTTGCGTGATTTTAAGGGCTTTTTATTACACTTTTTGCTCTTCTTTTGTACGCGCTACTACGCTATACCGTTCTCGAAAACAAATTATGAAATAGCATTGGGTTAAGGTTATTATTTACCTATTTAAACTTTATATAACCTTGCGTTTTATGGATCGGATTAATATACAAATTAGTATTCATAGTCATCGTTGACGAAAATATTGTACTTATCATCTACCTACCAGAATCGCTGAAACTCGCTATAGTTCCTCGGTATTGTAAGAAAAGTCAATTTAAACTCTCGTCCTCTAATTTTTAAAATACATAGTTTATCCAGCATCTGTCAGATTGGTTAGAGTATTATATTTTATACTTACCATCGAGTTTCGAATTATTTTATGATTTTATCAGTTGATGAATATTGAAATAGGAATTAAAGTTGGTGACTGGACTTACCAATAACTTGTGGATCCATATGTCGTAATGTATACACTGGAAATCGGGGTTGTAAGCGGTCTTAATTGCTTCGGTAATATCATCAGGATCTAATGAATCGCCTTCGCGGAGCGCTTGTTGCATAAAATCCACAGACAACGAGCCTTTACTTTCCGTGTCTAAAGTGCGAAATGCCTGCAGCAATTCGTCCGCCGTTGCCGGTTTATACCTAAAATAGTTACCTATCAATTATAAATACCAAAGAAGACTTTCTCAGTTGCTGTTTGTTCAGAAATAAGATCTATAATTATATCGTATGTCCTATTGTGGATTTATCTGTTGGAAGTGTTAGGTTAGGTTAGGGACTGAATACAAAACAAGTAATTCGTTGAACCATAAAAAAAAGTGTCTTGACCGTATATTCCGGTTTTCATCATAAAATCCAATATTAACTTTGTTGAATATCATCTCATGATTATCATTATCACTTTTTGATTGTATTTATATGACGTATACGTATTAGTGATTTTATATTTATATATTGTTCATAGGTGTTGTGTATTTCAAAGATATTTTTACTTGTAAATAGTGATTAACGTAGCAACTAGTAATTAAGCAATTGACTTAGGTACTTAAATGCCCTTATTTGTTTCTCCATATGTGGTACAAATACATTCATATCGACGGTACTCGGTTCACTTTGACTTTCCACAATGTTTGTGAATTCATTCAATTCTTCTTCGGTTGGGACACATCCTAAATAATAATCATTATCATTACAAAAAATATTAGTTAAATAGGTATTTTTATTCCGGAAATGAATACAAAATTAAAGAGGTACGTATAGTAATTTGATAAATATAACATATTTAAGGAATGTGGCGCTTTGAATAATATCTTATAGGTTTTAGTGGTTAGTAGTGTGGTTTTTTTGGTTTGTAAACGCATGCAAGTCAAACTAATCTTGTGAACTTCTCTAATACAATTAACTCTAAACTCGTTTCATATGTTACCATATGGTTTTGGTAGTATCATCTCGTTAAATTATGTATACAGTACCTAGGTATAATATCGAAAATGGATTGTGTTAATTAATATTAATGGTTTTCGTTGTTCATCTAGACTAGTCAGGTTAAGCTTCTAGATTGTAATGCTTAAATTATATCGTATTATTTCAAATCTTATAAAGTAGTTTAATAATAAAGTAGGTTTTGGGTTTATATAAAGATAAATGTGATTTAAAATTGTTCGTGGTGGTGTATCGTAATTAATATTATCAAAATGTAAAATGGAAATTTGAAAATATTAGTTATTATTTTAAATGTCTAATGTATTTAAATGTATGTATTGAATAACATATATTCATATTATTACGGATGTATTGAAATTATGTAACAAAATACCATATATTGTTTAAATTATTTACAAAGTATAGGTATATTTGTCTACGTATATTATTTTGAATTTACGAATACTTGATTAAATATACAAACAAACGGTATAATGTTCGAAATATTGAACAACAGCTCTGAATAATGCATTTAACCAAATGTGTATTATTATATTTTATCTCACTTTCTGGTTTGAAATCTTAGTTTCTTTTGTTGAAATAAAATAAGAATAAGATACAAATCAGACGACAGTAAATAATGTAACCGAAAAGCATTTAACTCTAGGATGAAATACATAATAAGTTATTAAGATAATGATTTAGATTATAATATCCGTTAAAACGATAGCCACGTATCATTAATACGACTATTTAATAATATATATATAACTGTATTTTTTCTTTTAGAAAACTTTTCCCGGTCTCCGACTTGCCACAAAACATTCCGATTCGTTTGTACAACTACCCAATTTATCATGTCCTTGTTAGGTCACTTAATATCCTTAATGTTATTTTAAAAACAGACCAACAATTTTTTCATTAAACTTAAAATTAGTAATTTAACTATTGATCTAATTTAGCAAAGTTAGGTGCTTATTAATATACTTATTTATATGGTTATCAATCACCATATATTTAAGAGATCATTAAAAATTTTTTTTTAAATTTTAGTCCCATTTTTCCATTATAATATTCTAATTATTTATTACTTTGAATATTTTAATTAATTTGTTCGTAATTCATCCATTGAATACATAGGTAATCCGATAGTTGTGTCTTTTATTTAATATAATCAAATGTTGTCGGTTTACTCTAAACCATTTGATAATTACAAAACTAAGGTATACATAGGTAGGTGTATACTAAGGTTATACATAAGTATAAAGTATACCTACATAAATACATAACATATATGAGGTAAATATATGTGAGTATATTATGTTTGTAATTTAGTATTATAATGTACCTATAATATAAAAGTTGAAAATGAAATAACTCGATTATGTAGCATAATGTATTTCGTGACTGCTTTGAAAATTGTTAATTGATCAGTTGACATATTCCATACATTACCCCCCAGACACACTAATATTATTTCGGCTTTGAAAACTAACTACTATGGATTTTTTTTTACGCGATAGGAAACCTTGTATTTGCACCCGTTGTGGTGCTCGACAGTATTATTAATTTGAATACCGCTTTGAATACAACGATTTTCAAACCCTCTTTGCGGTGTTGCTTAGGTACTACTGCAAAAATATCATTCATTTCACACAATCTTAGTCGACTTGACTGCCTGAACATTATTTTCGCTCTGCGGTTATAATAATATCCACGCATAAAATACGCAATGACGCTGGAAAGCATCTAACAGAAGGGGTGTAGAACTTTAAAAGAAATTATTCGATTGGTTTTTTGGTTTAAAAAGCTATTCAGTTTTAAATGGAGTATGACAATTTGTCGGAAAACCATTTTCAATGTGTTTGTATAGTATGTTTCCAGTTCCACCTCGATTTCATTCGCTTTGTTACTTAATTTATTTTTCTAAAATATAAGATTGCGAAACGATAATAATTCAAGTATCTAACCATCCAATTGTATGTAATTGTATTATATTAATAACTATCCTATGGAAACTGGAGTCTTTTGCAGAGGTTGAGAAGTCATTGATTCAAGTTTCAAAATTATATACTGATCTATATATTATGAGTAGATAGAATAATTACACAATTAAGAAAAATGATTATTTCAAGTGGCTTCTGGTGATACTGTAAATATCGCTGTTCTGATATCTGTTAATTTTGGATTTCCTGATGCAACTAGTTTTTGTTATTAAATTGGAAAAAAATAATTAGTATATTCATACAGAGCCTCATCTGCTGTCGACTAACAGGAAATATAATAATAGTCCAAATGAAAGGTATTAATAATTATGCTATAAATGAATTAATAATAATTTGATTTGTCAATCTCATAATATTTAAAATATGTCCGCCTATGTGTTTTAAAAATTGCAATACTTATATTTACTTTTTTATGGAAACTTTAAAAGTTTCAACTTAAAAAGCTGAAGACTACAATCTGCAAAGTATTTCTAATATAACTTTTATACTTTATAATAAATACGTATACTTGATTATATGACTATTTAATTATCTGAGTGACTTAGTATTAATTTGTCAGTTATTTTAAGATAATAAAAAACTCAACTCAAACAATATTAGTTCAAAATATTGTGGTTAGGTATTAGGTATATAATAATGAACCATGCAAATAAGTAATTATATTTCTATACGTTATACTTATGATATAATATATAGATTATTCAATATACATATTACTATGTACTCACATGGACGGTCTACCCAATAAATAATACTTGTAGAGTGTACGATTTGATTTTTTTATGTTCCTATACCTACATAGTAAAATTATAATAATAGAGCAATAGAGCATAAAATAGTGTACACAATTAAACCGGCATCGTTGCATACAATTCGTCATTAATATTTTACTAGAATGAGTTCAAAGGATTGATCGTGCCATTTGTGCGATGGCCATCGTTACAACATTTATTAGCCGATAATATCACCGATTTTTACTATTAGAAAAAAATGCTCCATCATCTGTAATACCTATTATAAGCAATTTATTGTTTGATATCGGCTTAAAAGAATTTAGTTCAAACAAAAGTAGGGGCCATCCTAGTAGCATCGGTAACTATATATGGGTAGTATATAAACTCGTGAGTCTTGAATAATAATATTTATTAAACAATTTCTGTTGATCAGTATTTATAATATAGGTCAACGTTACCCGATAGGTACTTTTATAATATTTACTTACCCACCACACAACGAATAAAACAGTTTTAATTTAAAAAACAAACAAAAAACAGAACCAGAACGGGTTTTGTTAATTTTTTTCCAACTGAAAGTAAATATTAGATAATACGTGCCAATAGTAAAATCAAACGAACACTCGAACATCAAAAATAGGCTCAACATTTAAACGCAATTTCAAACATCGTGTATCAATAATATACTATTACACATATTATTTAATATTACACAAGTACATTTTTAAAATTTCATACCGCATTGGCAAATGTTCAAAACACAATTATTAAATATGATCGACATGCGATTGCGAATACCGGTTTATTTGAATTGTACACATTATATTTTATTTGCTTTAAAATTTCTAACTATCAGTTAATGCCACGGTTAACTACTAATTGCCGTTCTTCAATCTTAGTAGATAACCAAGATGGTCAAAATTATACTTGTTATTTTACATCATTACTTATTTACTATTAAATATCACCCCTCGTCCAGCTCAGCAACCAGTATAATGGTAATGCGTTACTATCTGCAGTTGCTGCGGATCGTTAGTTTACAAACACCGATTGAACGGAAATAATATTAAAGGCTTAAGGCACTTGAGCCATAATAATATATCGCATGGAATTATCGTGTTGTCCCTTCTACGGCGGGGGCTGACGGATCGACCACCTCACCCGTTTGGATTTCACAAAATCAAATTTTAAACAATATTCGTCGAGTTTAATATAATAATAATAATAATATATTGCCTCCACGAACTACAAAAGTCGGCACTGTGAAAAAATCCAAGACCTCGCCCTGTCAAATGTAGACGTAGCAGTACAGGGCAGAGGATCCATATCGGTGCTGTGAGTTTTCTTTTTTCCGCGGACTGCAACATGACTTAGATGTAAACATCTATCAAGGAAATCGATCGCTCTACGTCGATAAACGACGGTCTGCGTCAATTCCACCGGACGGGTCGACCGGGTTTTTTCCTTTTTCCCACCTAGCTCAGGAAATTATTTTGTGGTGCCAGTGTGGTTTTTTCTCTTACCCACCACTCCCCCTTTCCCAGGACCACTCCCCAGTTCACGTCTAACGGTCCTGTGCAGGTATTTTGTTTTCGAGAACACAGTTACATAATAGTTAAAAAATGAAATAAAATGTCACCTACGAATAAGTAGATAGTTATCTCTAGTATTCTATTTAAAATATTATATGTACGCGTATAGTCGCATGGGCTTACGTCCGCCGTCCTCTGTTCACCTGTATAAATACGTGTACGCGCTACGTGAAAAGTTCAAAGTTAATCGTTTTGATTTTTATTCTCCTAGCACATTTCGATCGTTTACACATAGACCTTGTATTTGTAGACAAGCAATGAGTGTATGGAAAGCATAACAACATGGAGGGCGCTTTTTGATTACTCGTATGCACCGTAGTGCGGGGGATGATTGTAAGATATATAGATTATTATATTTTTTTTTGTAAAAACAGCCTACATCATTGTGAGATGTTGTTACGCAACTCACATGCTTTTGTTATACACAGTTCTTGTCTAGTAGTTTAAGGTCTGTGCGTTTACGTAATATTATAAACTATAATAGAGCTGTGTTGTTATTGATAATCGTTTTGGTGACAGTCAGGTAAGTTTTGTGTCATGATGGCATAATCTATGTAACGAAATTAGAATTTAGAGCTATATAATGAATTATTAAACAATGTGCGAGATACTCCCAGCGACACGTTAATTTCGTTACAAAAATAATGAGCTCAAGAATTTGACTTGTGCATTATAGCAGTTTATTGTGAACAAATAGGACGATTTTATTATAAAAACAAATAAAAACATTATAAAATTCATATAATTTCAACAAGTAATTTATTCCTTATTACCTACCTATTGGGTTAGTACCTACTAGTTATCAAAGTGTGAAAACCAATACATGACATAGTACAATATGTTATGCTGTATTTTTGAAAATATATGTTTCTTTTATTCATTAAAAATACAACTGATTAAAAAAACTGTGTTTTTCTCCATATTATAAATATATAACTGTACAAAATGGCTATTTTCCAATTTTTAAAGAAGTTGGTTTTTGAATAATCTAAAAAATATTTTTGTGGTTTAATGTAAGTACATTTTTTCTAGAACAAAGAGAGGCCATATTGCATAAAAAAAAAATACAGCACTATACAATATTTGTATTATATTTCAAATTAGAGCTTTCCAATTGACTAGCATATCTAGGTACTATATAATATAGGAGTGTTAACTGTCTGATCACTGTATGACAGAAAATTGTCCATACATTTTTCTTGGTATATTTTCACTAACACCGTTGTGGGTTGGGATGTATATGTATGTGTGTACTAGCTTACGTTACAATATATTTTAGTAAATTAAAATTTATAATATTATATCTGAACATAAACTTTATAAATATATGTATATATATTATATTATATGTATGGACTTAATATCTTATGTGTATTATACAATGATAATCACTTGATAAGCATTGTATAATAAAATCAACCTATTTTTGACTAACCTTAATTATATTTAGGTAATAGAAATATGGGTAACAATTTATATAGGTCACAATTTGCTTCCCATTAATTTTCCATCGTAATATACGTACCCAAATAACGAATAACCTTGCCTAAATCAGTAATTGATATGCTGTTAATATTGTCATTGTCATTGTCATTTGTAAACAATGAAAATGCATCAACAATAGCTTTCTGAAGATCGTTCTTTATTTCTAAAAATATCATAAAATATGTAATTTAATGTACATTTACACTGTATAATTTATGTATCCGAGAATACCGAAAGTCGCAATATCTGATTCGCTGCTATTTGATATGTTGTCTTCAGTCATTTTAACAAATTAAATAGTCTGATTGGATATTAATTAAAAATATGTCGATACGTTTAATAAAAAACAATATAATTGTAGCAGCTGTGTGATTTATTAAAATGTTAATTCGAGTGTTTTAAGCCAAATTGAATAAAAAATGATGTTGTTTAGATTGTAATTATAAATAATTGTTTTTTATTATCTTTTATCTTCTGCAACTTCATAAGCTATTACAGGCTTATAAATTCATTACTATTCATATTTTTTTTTCTTTGATAGGGTTGTTTCATATAATCTATATTACCTTTAAACTATTTAATAACAATTAAGAACTTAAAAATGCAAGTTTTGCTTATAAATAAAAAAAAGAAAATTAGGGTATGCTATGTGAATTTTTTTTTTAAATATACAATTTTACTGAATTGTAACTTATTTTTGCAGTACAAATTACAATAAAAATACCTTGTTCGCAAACGTTTTACCAAAGTGAGATAAACATTTTACTTCATTACGTTTTATTTCACTGTAGCACGTATTACATTGGTATGCAGTTTATCAAAATCGGTGGCATTGATATACGTAATATGTAGTGTGTACATCTTATTATCCTGTTAAAAGTTAGTAAATACGTGATAAAATTATTACATCGTTTTCAATTTAAAAAATAAAATAAACATTTAAATATTTAAACACTACACTCAATTAGTCAAATTGATTAGATCACATAATTATCCACATTGCATAGGTACCTATTGATTAGTAAAAACTCAAACTATATAAATACATACTTTTTAAACACTTAAATTTATGTTCGTTTTAAGAAAACTACAGAGTACTTTGATGCAGTTATTACTTTTAAAACATATTTTATTGCATTTTTAAACTCACAAAGTGTTAGTTTATAAAATATATATTTAAACATTATGTTTTTAAGATTACAGACCGTTAAATATTAATATTATGTTTACTCACTTTACCGTAACTCACTTTGCTGAATATCTACACATCAAAATAAACTAGTGTTAATTTGGTTGTATAATATTTTAAGCTTATGCATAATATAAATGTATGCATAGTATGAAGTTGATGTTATATATATATATGTTTTAAGAAAAATAAAGAAATTCGGAAAAGTATTTAAGATTACAGAATTGCAGAAAATTCGTTATCTCCGTCTTACAAGTGAGTAACATCTCAAATTTAAGCAAATCACGTTGAGCTCCGTTAGTTTAAAAATTAGAATGAATTGACTACTTATACAATTTAAAGGTGAAATTATTATCTGGGGCGTCTCATGGGCTTTTTATTAAATTCTAATTTTAAAGCGGGTTATGAGTATTTAACTAACAGAGCTGAACTTGATTTGCTGAACGTAAAATTTGGTATGTTACGCACATGAAAGACGTATACAACAAATATCAGGGTAACTTCTTCTTAAGATGAGTAATAACTGATTAAAGTGGACCTTTATAAAAAACGCGTTGACAAAATAAACATAGTACATTAAAAAAAAATAACTTTATGTACGAGAGATATATGGAGATGATTTGTTTTTTTGAAGTGGGTACTCAATGTAAAGCGTAAATGTTTGAAATATTTAGAATGTAACTCAATACATTTTGATGTTTTTGTTTCACATATTTAAAATTAATAACTGATCAATTTTAGTTTTATTATTTTTAAATATTAGCACCAATTACAAATACAGTAAAATCCATTTAAAATAAATACTCAACTCTATTTCATATTTTATTTACATTTTTTGAGACCGTTAAAAATCAAGCTTAAACGGTTAAAACAATATAATTAACATTTTTTCCTCGGCTTAGAACATTAATGGTTATTTTACTTTAATGGAACAATCTTGAACGTTTAAAAAAACTGTAATGAATTGCTTAAATTATCTTGATTTTGTAATATAATTTGTAAATATTCTTTCATCGAAGCTTTTAATAAACTATACCTTTTTAGATACTAATCATCACAACTCTTACATGAAATGCCTATTAAAAACAATTTAGGTATTACGATGTCAATCAATGTAATCAATATTCATACAGTGATAAAGACCAAACTTTATTATGAATTATATTTGGTGATTTTTTTTAATTAGGTATCTCAATATTTTGTTCATCAATATATCTTTGAGTATTTGTACAAAGGATGACATAAGAATAATTTACATGGTGAACATTTTCACTTTCTATCCATAACTTTTAATAATAAACAAAATTGTTTCATCTCTATCAATTACTTGAATTTGATTAGAATTAAACATATTATATCCTTTGAAAATAAATAATTGAAAATATTTGCCTGTTGCCGGAAGTTTTATAATGAATTTATAAAATACTTTAAAAATTAAAAAAAACAAATTTTTCTTCCTTTCATCTAAATGTAGGATTACAGTACACGATGGCATCCTGTAAACTCTATCTACGGAGAATTTCAATTTAAATTACTTTACGTGGACTGCGTGCACGAATCAAATTAATTCCACATTTTTCCCCCTTGAACTATCCTTTTATACTCGTTTTTTTTTTTAAATTGTATTTTAACGCTGACTAATTAGGGAGTTTAGATTCTACACGAAGCGGTCCGATATCGAAATATTTTATTTCAAAACATCCTACTTGATGAAGATCAAAGTAATCTTTTCGATAAGTAATTACAAAGTTACTTTAAAATCCATAAGGTTTCGGTAAAAAACCCATATTACTAATATGTATATTTAAGTATTACGTATTGTGTATTATATATATTAATTACTCACTGTACAATATAATATATATATATATATATATACATCTTAATTAATAACAGGAATAAACTGATTGAATAAATTGGATGATTACATTACACTTTATAGCTGGGTTGATCAGTTTTTGTTGGCTGGTTTAGTAATTTAATTAAATTTAAAATATTGGGAATTATACTCATTTGAGTTTATAGCTTTTGAAAAGGATTGAACTGTTTTGTTAGGTACATATTATGATTTTATACTTTTGTGTAATAACTTTTAAACGTAACAAAAACACATAACGAATAAGTTTAAATGCATTATTCATTTACGTATAAAACTATCAATTATATTTTCGAGGCACAAGAACTGATCTTCTTTTGTATTGTATTAAATTATTTATTAGTTTATTGATTATTAACATAATATTATATATTATGATTATTGAGGAGGAATAATTCATAATATAATCAAACACTCGCCAATTCTACTAAAAGATTTATGAGTTAATTATGTATCATTAACGTTCTATTTTCATTTCAAAATCTACCCAAAATGTTGTACCTAGTTGTTTTTCTGTCAAGTGTGCAACACCTTCTTAATCACCATCCCTTAACTATTTTCCCTTTTGATAATTGATAAAGTTAATTTGTTCCCAGATAAACATGTAGCAATAAGCCCTCATTAGTAGCTCTTTTAGTGAATAAGTCTATAATTTATTGGTATATTATGTATCCATGGTTATAAGTTTTTTCTTCACAACTAAACTAATGGTTAATCTACTAAATTTTTAACACGACTTCTGCTTTTATATATTATATATAAAACTAAAAATTTATTAGATTTTAAATAATTATTTAAAGAATTAGAATTAGAATTTAATAGAATTATCAATGTAGTATAATTTGATCAGCGTATTGTATATAATTTATCATTGAATTATCATACAAAAATAATAATACACCACATGTCGTCAATGAAATTAGGGTAACTTTTGTAGTATAGATTTGAGTGCAGCTCGTGTGAGATACCATGCGGTATAAGGAACACGAACATGTTGACTCTTGAACATTTATTTTTTTAATGTATAAATGTATAAAATAAGAATGTTATACAGGGAATGAATGGTAATAGTTTTTACGTATTTCGTTAAAATGTATTATAAATTATAAGCAAATTATTACACAAATGCGAAGAATTTAAGAATTTCACTATATGTTTAACTGAATAATAATTTTAAATGTTTAATAGATACATTTTTATAATTCAATAAAAATTTCAACTATGATAATTAAATAGGTTTTGTGATTTTTATAATTAGTTGTATACTTCTATCATCCATATTCATTGTACATTATTACGTTGGTGGTGTATAATGTTGTTTTTATTAAGCTGGAAAAATCATTATTTAATCTGGATCCGACTCCATATCCGCCGCCACTGTCAAATTCGTCGTCACTGTCCATTTACACAATAAAATATAGTGTCTCTTAACTGATCAGGGAGTTTAAATCATATATTATGTTTATTTGTTAAAGGTGTATTATGTAATCTATATAAGTAAATAAATATTATGATTCAGACTCATAGGTGACCACTCCAAGAACAACTTAAAGTTACAAAATAAAAAAATATCTTATTTTAATAGTTAATGTTACAAATAATATGGTTAGTTTATTGCGCTCTATACATCATCTATTAATTGTATTAAAATATAACTGTTTTTACTTTCATGTAAAAAATAAATGTCGTTACTATTTTATAAAAATGTTATCACTAAATTACTTTCCATTTAATGGTTTTCATTAAATAATTTTTTAACTATACTGCGTATTTATAATATTATGTCAATATGTACCAGTTTTCAAAAAAATATATATTTGTTTAAAAATACTTTGTGGTTTCACGTAAATGTCAATGTCCAATAAAATCAATAAAATATTTTAAAGAATAATAAACCCAGAAGTATTAAAAATAATTGCTGAAGTTTTTGTAGTTCATACATTTTCACCATCATGTTTCCCTTATATTATAAGTTTAAGTACAACAATTTATCATAATGGTTTATTTTGTAATTTTGTATGCATCAAGTTATACTAATAACTTTAGACATTTATTCGTAAACTATTTGATAAGCTGTATTCGGATTGTTTAATAATGTTAACTTCTAAGATATTTTGTAATAAAGAATTTATTTGGCACATTTATGATAAAGTTAACATGTTGATGGGATAAATGCATTAATATTTTATAATATGTGAGTTATAAAAAAATGTCATCTTCCGAATATTTTACGTAGAACGTGAAATAGGTCGTAAGATTAATAAATTATTACTATAACCACACAC